GCTGCACCTGTGGCACTGGATCTCATTCTTCTCCTTGGCGGATGTGGCCTGGGTGGTGGTGGTGGTAGTAGTAGTAGTAGTAGTTAAAGAATTGACTTACGGCACCGATTTCGTCCAAAAGGCTGATATGATTGTGCGGCCAGAGGGGCCAGGGCACGAGTACCCGCGGAACGGCTGGAATCTATAGAAAAGGAAGACAAGCTCAGCTCATTGACTAAAAATAACTAACAGATCAGGGAGAAAATAGGCCTAGACTAACTTCAGGGCCCCATTGCTAATTCCCGACTTTCCAGGGCCTCGAGTTGAAGTCCTTTTAGTCAGTCAAATAAGGGTACGTAGTCAATAATCGAAAGTGATTTACCAGCAAAAAGAGGAATGTTTGAATGATCGCTAGAAATGTCTTGGTCGTCACCAGCTGAGGTATACGCCAACCACTTATCGATGAGAACTGAGATATGTCCAGTCATTTAAATTTAATTGACAAGTTGACTCGCGGTCTAAACGTTGGGTGATGGATCCATGTTTGTTTTCAACTGCGAGGGTCCTACCCCGAGCTATGGAGGCTATTGGAACAGATGTTATCCGACGCCAAAACGGCAGACAGTATTCTCATCCAATACAGACAAAATCAAGGAGACGCCTATAGCAGATGTTCGTATCGACACGTTTATAATGCTGGTGTACAGTATACTCGTCCGGGCGCTAGCGTTTGAACTCCGCTGGGCCTAGTTAAGAAAATTACGTATTTTAGTCACTGAATTCGAAGACGATTTGCGTGAATGTTGGTAATAAGGAATAGGCACGATGAACATATATTCAAAAATAAAAACCGCCATGGGAGTTGCTGATTTGTAAGCATATGGCGAAATTATCATACTTTCCATTTTCTCAAGCAGGCCTCTTTGATGTCCTTTTGTCGATCATCGCTCAGTGTTGTATTCTCCACGAAGGCGAGAAGTTTCGATAGGTATTTACACTCCTTTTTTGCCATCCTGAAAGATTTGAAAACAGCTCAACTTCTAAGAGTAAATTAAATAATCTTATACAGGAAGAAGGCTGCTTATGACTTCTCTTTTAGAGATGAGAGATGAGCTATTCGCACCGCTTGGCGGGACCTTATCAATTATCATAAATAAGTGTTACTCAAACGTAGCAAGTAATAATATAAGAATACGACACTTTTTCATACGCGGCAAGACTATAGTGGGCATTGCTATAGCAACCTAGCTTCCTCTTAAAGACTTCAACAGATTCAGACATAACAACATCCAGGGGCCGAGCACTCCAAGCTTCAACCACCCTATTAAAAAAGAAGGACGTTCATGTGTCCAGCTTGGTCCATATGTAACTTAGTACAGTAGTCGCCGGATATTAAACCCACGGTTAATAAGCCCGCCGCTTATTAAGCCCAATTTGGTCTGGGCCCGATGTGAGCTTAATAACTGGCGACTACTGTATTCAGCCCACGGTTAATAAGCCCGCCGCTTATTAAGCCCAATTTTGTCTGTGCCCGAGGTGAGCTTAATAGCCGGCGACTACTGTACCGTCGACATGGTTAGCTCAGCCGTGTTGAGTTCACCGTGTCTACTCACAGATGCAGTAATGGTTACTGATAATTTATTGATAAGAAAAGTTTACTTAGAAAACAAATATGTACGGTTAATATTGCTGGTGCATCCTCCGATGTCACAGTACACAGGAAGCATTGTTTCTCACAAAATCTCTTACTTTTGACACGCGTTCGACATCACTGTTGAAAATACCTCTCTGCATCACTCTTTTAAATCGCAAAAACTTGCAAGTGTGCTAATGTTGGGAAATAACCATAGTACACCAAAATAACTTTTGGGAGATGACGGATATAGCGTATGAAAGTCCTGTAAAGGATGCTTGGAAGTATCTCTGTCAAAATGCGTTTGAAGTCATGTCTTGGAAGATTCCCAACTGTTAGGCCTGCCTCGGCCCCTCTCAGAATTGACAATATGGCTGCCACGGTTCCTCCTTAATGTGGCCAGGTCCTGAACAAACAATATTTACTATACATAGTTTTTTTTTCGAAATATACTTTTTTATCAATAAATTATCAATAATCATTACTGTGTACACATTTTCAGCGGTTATGCCGAACGCGTGTCAAAGGGAAAAGATTTTGAGAGAAGAAATGCTTCCAGCGTAGCGCGCCATCGGAGGATGAACCAAAAATATTTACTGTACACATTTTTTTCGAAATCTACTTTCTTATCAATAAATTATCAGTAACCATTACTATGTCGGCGAGTAGACATGGTGAACTCGGCACGGCGCAGCTAACCGTCGGTATCAACGGTACTAATTTACATATGGACCAAACTGGACACACGAAAGTTCTTCTTTTGTAATGGAATGGTCGACGCTTGGAATGCTCTGCTCCTGGATTTTGATACGTCCGCTTCCGTTGAAGTCTTTAAGAGGAAGCTTGATTGCTACGGTAATGCCCACTACAACACCAGCCGACCTCTATAGTCTTACCGCAGGCGAAAACACTTCGTATCCTTATAGTATTACTTTCTACATTTGAGTAACAGTTATTTATAAAAGTTCGGAAAGCCCCGCCAAGCAGTGCGAATAGTTCATCTCTATCAACACGCTTCCAGGGGTTAGGTCATCCAAAAGCCGAGAAATTGAGCCAATCACGTTTGTCCTACTTAAGCTAATTAAGTAAACAGTACTCTACATGTAATGCATCGAAAATGGGTACGCAACTCAAGCGGTCGTCGAGAGCTAGATATGGGAGCAAGAGGATATAGTTCTACTT